ACAACTTGCTTCTGCCCGCCATGTCCGACACCGAGTCGGAGCGGGACTGGGATAGGTGCGCCATCGCACGCCGTCTGGCGCCGCTGACAAAGGCCACAGTCTCCTCAGCGCGCCCCTGCCCGTGCTGTCCCGCTCGCTCATCGCGCTGCGCCGATCGAATGGAGGCCCGCGCGATGCGAGGCGTTTCCGGTGTGGGCAGCGCGTTTGCGAGGACGCGGTCGACGCGCTTCGCGAGAGCCGCAGGCCCCTGCAGCGCAAGATAAAGAAGGGTTGCCGCGACAGTTCTCCGCGGTGCACCGCCTCCCGCATGATATCCTGGGATAAATCGCGGGCCCGGGCCACGTGCACCAGGACAGCGGCGCCGTCGTTCCCCCGCGGGAGATGGTGCGGGTCTGCTGGGGCTAGCTGTCGGCGTTGGCGTGCTTGCCATCGCTGTGGACGACCATCGGCACGGGAAGCGGCGAGGGCGAGGCTGCGGCTGCAGGAGTTGAGGGTTGAGCGGACCCGGGGGAATGCTTTGCTACGCGTGAAAGTCGCGCCCCGCACCCAGGAACAGATTGACTCCCATGTCCAGCTGCTCGTCCGCGGCGCTCGATCCGGGAATTGACCGCAGAAGACGTCGAAGGTATGTCTGCAGACCCCGGCGCATTGGTACTGATATGACTCAGACCGGTCTCTGACGACGGGATGACACAAGGGTGCCGCATTGCCGTTGCTGAGAAGGGTGCTGGAGCAGGTTCCTTGGAGAGGGGCGGCCCCAGCCGCATGAATGGTGTGTCATTCATTCTGGACTTGTGGCTGCCCCGCTCTCGTCAAGCCTGGGCCATGCCGCCTAGTGCTTGCGCTGCGAGCATGTCGCCGTTGTCAGCATCGTGTTGGATGAGTGTGCTACTATGGATCCTCTTGGAAGGGGAGTTGCAATGATAATTGCTTGGATTGAGGCTGACCAGCTGAAGAACGTGGAGACAGGATTCATTGTGTGGAACTATTCACATATCCGGTAATGTATTGTCGTTGTTGGTTCGACGGACGACCGTATCGATGTCGTCGTTGTCTCTGACTTGGAGCAGCATCTTCTCTCCAAGCACAGGCAAGTCGGGATGGGCGAATGTCAGCTCGGGCGGCTCATTGCAGCGTTCTTCGTCGGCAGGGCAATTGGACTCAGGCTTCGCAAAGGTTATCGCCTCCAACACGTCGTCCAGCACATCAAAGTCGATGGGTGGTGCCTGGGGACACCTGCGCGAGCGCCCCACCCATTCCTCGCATGAGGGGAACGGCGGCAGCGGCTTGTTTAGTCTGGGCAACGGTGGCGCGACGGGGCTCGTGCTCGACGGGGACATCGAGGCGGCGGAGGACTTCGTGCGTCTGAGCCTGAAGAATGCGCAGATGGGAGTCGTGGCTGTCTCCGTATTGCCCGCAGGCCCAGGCGTCTTGCGTGCTAGTTTTGGCAGCGGTCGGGGCGGCAGCGCTGGCCTGCAAGGTGTGTCGTGGGCAACATACATCGACACGGGCGAGCGCGGGTGATGCTGGTGCTGGTGCTGGTGCTGGTGTGGAGCCATGGTGGGGAGGTCCAAGGGCCCAGGCAGGCACGCGGGCGAGGCTCATATCGAGGGAGATGTGGTCCCGCCGTGCAGTGCAGATCATGATGTTGATGGCGCCCAGCTTCTGTGTAGATGGGGCCTGGTCGGATTCACATACATAATCGGGAGCGCGGGACCAGGGGACATGGAGCGTGTGAGGATGAAGGCACGAGCGGGGGTGACTAACATACTCATTCACACCCTTCCGAACAGTTGCATGAGGAGATATGATGGGACAAACGGGCGATAGAACTAGGCCATTGAACTAGGTCAGAGCGGTATGGGCCGCAGAGTCCCGGCGGGGAGGTAAGCACAAGGTCGGCGGGTTGCGACAATGATCAATTCGATGCAGGCAAATACAGAGAGAGAGACATCACATCCTCTTACTGTGTAGAATTGCGCACTATACTGAGCAACAATACGTTAGCAGCGGTAAGGTAGGGAAACGGTAGCGACGCACCGGGTGCGGCCCACATCTCGCGGCCCATGAGCTGAATCAAGCCTCGGCCATTCCGCCCCATCCTTCATCTCACGGGCTCTCAGCATCCTCTGGCGCGACACCATGAGCAAGGGCCACACCACGGGGAGGACGCGATGACGGAGTAGATGTGCAGCAGGCTTTCGAGCAGCAGGAAGACAAGGAGGCTCGAAGAGGGTAGCTTGGAACGGCGGACAACAAAGGCGAAGCACGACGAAAGAGAGGTATAAGCCCGCGGCCGTCTGCAAGCGACAAGGTGGTGAACGAGCCGCCTTGTTGTCCGGAGGGAGACGAGAGGGAAGAGAAGGGAAGAAAAAGGGGATTTGCCCGTGATTGACGTGGCGCGCACGGACCATGCCGTGTTGCACGTGCCACGTCAATCGGCTCTTCTTCCCGACTTCCATCTGGCAACATCCAGCTGCGCCCCCGCCTTGCCTCCCAGCGCCGTTGCGCCGCACCAGCAGCGAGCGCTGTCGCAAGTATGACACAGGCGCTCTTCCTGCCGACTCACCAGCTCTCCGCACTGGCCAGATCAAAACGAGAGTTAAGGTGCGTGCTACGTTTTCACGCGGGTCTGTCCTCACACGTGGCAGCTGTTTCTGCGTTTTCAACAACAGTGCCACACCCTGGCTATACACGGACTGGGGATAGGACTCTAATCATTTTAGTTTGAAATCATATGTAAACAATAATAAATGTTTAAATAATCATTTTGTTTGGCTGACTGGCAGTGGCAAACAATAAACAAATGAAAATAAATGATTCAAACATTCATCCTGTGAAATACTCACTTTGAGTGTCTTTGCTGGGGACCTGGGGTTGCGGCTCTACTGTAGTAATTAGACCACAAGTTCGTGTAATGCGTAATCAGGCCAAAAAAACATAGCGTTAAAATTCACCTAAAATCAAAAGAAAATTTTTCGGCCCTCTCGGGCATGAAAAAATTCGAAATATTGATGAGCTTATGGTCTAATTACTACGGTATAACAGGATAAAACCCTAAGACTCATGGGATGACAGGCAGAAGCATTGGACGCTGTGACTTGGACTTCTTTTGTGCTGATGGGAGAAACGAGAAGGTGGTCATGGATGGAGGACTAGCGGCGGTGGATTGGGCAACGAGTTGGCTGAGGAGGAGGGAGGTGCGTCTGCAGTATCCCTATTACTTGGCCTCCACTGCTATAATCTGTCTGACAGAGGCACTAGCCAAATTTCCCTGTTCACGAGCCTGGCCTTGAGCTAGGTCAAAGCGCTGGGCCTTTGTTGCCTCATCCTCCGGAACCCGCACCTGCGTGTGTATCGAAGGCACCATACTCGTCCATGATATCGCTCGTGCCACCGGGGGCAAAGATGGCGGCCAACAGGCCACGGTATGTCATGAAAGAGACATGCGGCGGCCTGACAGGGGTTCAATGGCAGTCGCAGGCCAAGTCAACTCTTTCATCTGGGCAGCAATAAAACAATATGCCAGCTGCTTTATTACTTTTAGCGCCAAGGGGGGTTCAAGATCCTTATCAGGCACATGGCGTAGGGGTGAGGGGGGGTCCCAGGGGGGTAAAAAAAACTTTTTGTATATGAAAGATTTGGGCCTTATATGGGTGTCAAGACACTGAAAATATAGTGTATACACTCTAATTTCTATAGTTCACAACACTCATACTTTCAGGCCCATGAGCTTGGATAGCCTACTCTGTTATAGGTCCATGGACAGGTAATTGATGAGAGGTGAACATGTTGAAAAGTTGATATGGCCTGCCATGTGTTTGAAGGTTCCAGCTACCTACCTACATACACATATACACATACACATATATGAAAAAATTTGCCACAAAAAGACCTTCACAAAGATTGAATTTTTTATCCAGTCGTCGTGGCGAAAATTTAAGGTGCTGAGTAATGGTCCCGCGTGACTCTTGGCAATGATGGTCGTGATGCAAGACACGTGGCGCTTGACAACTTGCTTCTGCCCGCCATGTCCGACACCGAGTCGGAGCGGGACTGGGATAGGTGCGCCATCGCACGCCGTCTGGCGCCGCTGACAAAGGCCACAGTCTCCTCAGCGCGCCCCTGCCCGTGCTGTCCCGCTCGCTCATCGCGCTGCGCCGATCGAATGGAGGCCCGCGCGATGCGAGGCGTTTCCGGTGTGGGCAGCGCGTTTGCGAGGACGCGGTCGACGCGCTTCGCGAGAGCCGCAGGCCCCTGCAGCGCAAGATAAAGAAGGGTTGCCGCGACAGTTCTCCGCGGTGCACCGCCTCCCGCATGATATCCTGGGATAAATCGCGGGCCCGGGCCACGTGCACCAGGACAGCGGCGCCGTCGTTCCCCCGTGGGAGATGGTGCGGGTCTGCTGGGGCTAGCTGTCGGCGTTGGCGTGCTTGCCATCGCTGTGGACGACCATCGGCACGGGAAGCGGCGAGGGCGAGGCTGCGGCTGCAGGAGTTGAGGGTTGAGCGGACCCGGGGGGAATGCTTTGCTACGCGTGAAAGTCGCGCCCCGCACCCAGGAACAGATTGACTCCCATGTCCAGCTGCTCGTCCGCGGCGCTCGATCCGGGAATTGACCGCAGAAGACGTCGAAGGTATGTCTGCAGACCCCGGCGCATTGGTACTGATATGACTCAGACCGGTCTCTGACGACGGGATGACACAAGGGTGCCGCATTGCCGTTGCTGAGAAGGGTGCTGGAGCAGGTTCCTTGGAGAGGGGCGGCCCCAGCCGCATGAATGGTGTGTCATTCATTCTGGACTTGTGGCTGCCCCGCTCTCGTCAAGCCTGGGCCATGCCGCCTAGTGCTTGCGCTGCGAGCATGTCGCCGTTGTCAGCATCGTGTTGGATGAGTGTGCTACTATGGATCCTCTTGGAAGGGGAGTTGCAATGATAATTGCTTGGATTGAGGCTGACCAGCTGAAGAACGTGGAGACAGGATTCATTGTGTGGAACTATTCACATATCCGGTAATGTATTGTCGTTGTTGGTTCGACGGACGACCGTATCGATGTCGTCGTTGTCTCTGACTTGGAGCAGCATCTTCTCTCCAAGCACAGGCAAGTCGGGATGGGCGAATGTCAGCTCGGGCGGCTCATTGCAGCGTTCTTCGTCGGCAGGGCAATTGGACTCAGGCTTCGCAAAGGTTATCGCCTCCAACACGTCGTCCAGCACATCAAAGTCGATGGGTGGTGCCTGGGGACACCTGCGCGAGCGCCCCACCCATTCCTCGCATGAGGGGAACGGCGGCAGCGGCTTGTTTAGTCTGGGCAACGGTGGCGCGACGGGGCTCGTGCTCGACGGGGACATCGAGGCGGCGGAGGACTTCGTGCGTCTGAGCCTGAAGAATGCGCAGATGGGAGTCGTGGCTGTCTCCGTATTGCCCGCAGGCCCAGGCGTCTTGCGTGCTAGTTTTGGCAGCGGTCGGGGCGGCAGCGCTGGCCTGCAAGGTGTGTCGTGGGCAACATACATCGACACGGGCGAGCGCGGGTGATGCTGGTGCTGGTGCTGGTGCTGGTGTGGAGCCATGGTGGGGAGGTCCAAGGGCCCAGGCAGGCACGCGGGCGAGGCTCATATCGAGGGAGATGTGGTCCCGCCGTGCAGTGCAGATCATGATGTTGATGGCGCCCAGCTTCTGTGTAGATGGGGCCTGGTCGGATTCACATACATAATCGGGAGCGCGGGACCAGGGGACATGGAGCGTGTGAGGATGAAGGCACGAGCGGGGGTGACTAACATACTCATTCACACCCTTCCGAACAGTTGCATGAGGAGATATGATGGGACAAACGGGCGATAGAACTAGGCCATTGAACTAGGTCAGAGCGGTATGGGCCGCAGAGTCCCGGCGGGGAGGTAAGCACAAGGTCGGCGGGTTGCGACAATGATCAATTCGATGCAGGCAAATACAGAGAGAGAGACATCACATCCTCTTACTGTGTAGAATTGCGCACTATACTGAGCAACAATACGTTAGCAGCGGTAAGGTAGGGAAACGGTAGCGACGCACCGGGTGCGGCCCACATCTCGCGGCCCATGAGCTGAATCAAGCCTCGGCCATTCCGCCCCATCCTTCATCTCACGGGCTCTCAGCATCCTCTGGCGCGACACCATGAGCAAGGGCCACACCACGGGGAGGACGCGATGACGGAGTAGATGTGCAGCAGGCTTTCGAGCAGCAGGAAGACAAGGAGGCTCGAAGAGGGTAGCTTGGAACGGCGGACAACAAAGGCGAAGCACGACGAAAGAGAGGTATAAGCCCGCGGCCGTCTGCAAGCGACAAGGTGGTGAACGAGCCGCCTTGTTGTCCGGAGGGAGACGAGAGGGAAGAGAAGGGAAGAAAAAGGGGATTTGCCCGTGATTGACGTGGCGCGCACGGACCATGCCGTGTTGCACGTGCCACGTCAATCGGCTCTTCTTCCCGACTTCCATCTGGCAACATCCAGCTGCGCCCCCGCCTTGCCTCCCAGCGCCGTTGCGCCGCACCAGCAGCGAGCGCTGTCGCAAGTATGACACAGGCGCTCTTCCTGCCGACTCACCAGCTCTCCGCACTGGCCAGATCAAAACGAGAGTTAAGGTGCGTGCTACGTTTTCACGCGGGTCTGTCCTCACACGTGGCAGCTGTTTCTGCGTTTTCAACAACAGTGCCACACCCTGGCTATACACGGACTGGGGATAGGACTCTAATCATTTTAGTTTGAAATCATATGTAAACAATAATAAATGTTTAAATAATCATTTTGTTTGGCTGACTGGCAGTGGCAAACAATAAACAAATGAAAATAAATGATTCAAACATTCATCCTGTGAAATACTCACTTTGAGTGTCTTTGCTGGGGACCTGGGGTTGCGGCTCTACTGTAGTAATTAGACCACAAGTTCGTGTAATGCGTAATCAGGCCAAAAAAACATAGCGTTAAAATTCACCTAAAATCAAAAGAAAATTTTTCGGCCCTCTCGGGCATGAAAAAATTCGAAATATTGATGAGCTTATGGTCTAATTACTACGGTATAACAGGATAAAACCCTAAGACTCATGGGATGACAGGCAGAAGCATTGGACGCTGTGACTTGGACTTCTTTTGTGCTGATGGGAGAAACGAGAAGGTGGTCATGGATGGAGGACTAGCGGCGGTGGATTGGGCAACGAGTTGGCTGAGGAGGAGGGAGGTGCGTCTGCAGTATCCCTATTACTTGGCCTCCACTGCTATAATCTGTCTGACAGAGGCACTAGCCAAATTTCCCTGTTCACGAGCCTGGCCTTGAGCTAGGTCAAAGCGCTGGGCCTTTGTTGCCTCATCCTCCGGAACCCGCACCTGCGTGTGTATCGAAGGCACCATACTCGTCCATGATATCGCTCGTGCCACCGGGGGCAAAGATGGCGGCCAACAGGCCACGGTATGTCATGAAAGAGACATGCGGCGGCCTGACAGGGGTTCAATGGCAGTCGCAGGCCAAGTCAACTCTTTCATCTGGGCAGCAATAAAACAATATGCCAGCTGCTTTATTACTTTTAGCGCCAAGGGGGGTTCAAGATCCTTATCAGGCACATGGCGTAGGGGTGAGGGGGGTCCCAGGGGGGGTAAAAAAAACTTTTTGTATATGAAAGATTTGGGCCTTATATGGGTGTCAAGACACTGAAAATATAGTGTATACACTCTAATTTCTATAGTTCACAACACTCATACTTTCAGGCCCATGAGCTTGGATAGCCTACTCTGTTATAGGTCCATGGACAGGTAATTGATGAGAGGTGAACATGTTGAAAAGTTGATATGGCCTGCCATGTGTTTGAAGGTTCCAGCTACCTACCTACATACACATATACACATACACATATATGAAAAAATTTGCCACAAAAAGACCTTCACAAAGATTGAATTTTTTATCCCACTTTTTGATCGCCTCAGTGGTCACATGATGCGAATTGTGGGAACATATTACCCGATATGGCAGGAGGGGGGGAGGGGGTCCCCCAGGGGTCGGAAAAAAACTTTCTGACCCTATATCCATGATTCGAGACTTGAACCCCCCTTGTTTAGCGCCGCACCGGCCACACTGCTTATCTTCGTCCACCAGCCTCTGCTTTGGGACCCTCGACATCCAGCCGTCCGGCCAGCTCCCGAATGTAATGGCGCTGCGCGCCCCGGGCTCGCGCTGGACGCAGCACCGTCTCGGTAGGTACAGCATCCGAACAATCTGGTGCGTTGAAAGTTTGCTGTCCACAAACGGACTCTTTTGGCATCAATGCGTCTGTGTTCGCGTATACACAGGAACTTTTCACGGGGTATCCATCTTCCCCCATGCGACACTCCAGCGCGTCCAAAGGCAAGCTGTTGCAGTAATTGGCCGCTCCGACCGGGCCGGCCAGCGATGACCTTATTTTGGATGTGCAAGGCCGTGCGTGTCAAGCCCGTGACGAGTCGGCTGTGGGAAGGGGGCCTGGGATCACAGTCACTTTCCCTTCCTAACGAGCCTGTGAAACATCTGCAAGAGTGCGGACTCACTGCAGAGGGGGTTGGCAGAACATTGGGGACCCAGAGCATGTTATCGCAGCTGGCAAAATGGAACCACGGCGAGGAGCAAAGCCACATCGTGCTGTGGGTCTGTGTTAGAAAGCTGGCATATTTTTAACTTTAACTGGTACTACTCACCTTAAGCCCCCCGGGCGTTGGCATATGCAAATGATGCTGGTTGATTCAGCTGCCACATCTTGAGGGAAAACTGTCATAGTGGTCAAGGAGAACGAAGCATCGGACGTCCGGCATACGGAGCCGGCTTCCGATAAATTCTCACCATCAGATAATTGGATCACCGGCTTTGATATTCAATTCCTTTGACTTCTGAATCTCTTTGAATGGGAATTTGTCTGCCATCGAACCGCCGTCAGGCCGCCGCATGTCTCTTTCATGACATGCCGTGGCCTGTCGGCCACCACTTTTGCCCCCAGTGTGCTGACAGGCTGGAAGTGCGTATTGCGGAGGTGATCTGGACTTCTGCAAAACGGAGGAACAAAGAGGGAGCATCTTGGTCATCCAGTCCATAATCACAGACCAGTATTGCTTCGCGCCCACGATGACCACTTCTGCGTGCTTATTATGCTGCTGCATCTCAGGCTTGCCAACGACTGTAGCTCTCGGACATCAAACAGGTGCATCCAGGGGGACCACAGAGAATCAATACAGCCTTATGAGCATGCATCTTAATTCCAACGACAACCACTTCATCCAAAAAAGTCAATCAACCTAAATAGGTTGATTTGCCACCTATTTAGGTTAAAGAAAATATATATATCTAATAAACCCTATTTGTCATAGTCATACATCATATTGTTAACCTACTAGTTTGTCTTTCTGACTACTGCTAGTAAAATGCTGTCAAAGACCCCCCCATTTCAAATCTACCTAAGTAGGTAAAATTTCCACCTATACTTGACAGCATGTTGACCTAGTTAACAGTATTAGTAGCTTATATACTTGTAATGGGAAGCCTTACTTGACCATATAGAATATAAATCATAACTTTTGGTAAGATACAATGTCAATGTAATGTTACAGTTTGACTTGTTTATATAGAATCATAGCTTAGTGGTTTAGCACAGTTTTAGTAATTAAGATACTAAGTCTGCCAGTTCAAGTCCCCTGCCTGCCATATTTCAGTTCTTGTAAATACTCATCAACTATACATAGTTCTGTAACAATAACAACAACTGATACTATATCAGTAGCCTTACAACACTCAGTAAAAACACTAGTAATTACTAGTATACTTTCTTTCCAGTACGGATACTTGAAAACAACCTAAGGATCCACCTATTCCTCCAGGTGTAAAGCTTAGGTAGAAAGTGGCCTATTTAGGTGGGTTTTCCACTCCCCCATAGGTTGATTTACCACCCTAGAAAACAACCTATATAGGTGGTACACCAACCTGATATAGGTAGGATCTCAACCTGATATAGGTGGTTCTATAGGTTAGAAACCCACCTGCTGGGCCTCCATAGAGTTTCTGTTGTGCCATTCAACTCCGCCCCTGACAATTTTCATGTCAGCCGCCTACTGTAATGTGGTGTGCGTTTATACCAGGAATATGGAGAATGGCACAGCAGTGGCCGAACCCCACTGCAGTGCTGTAGGTCTGCTCCCCCATTTGTATTATGATGGTAGTATTATGAGTGCTCGATGCAGACCGGAGCACATGGGATTAAGGATAATAGTGAACACCTAGTGGTGTCAAAACTCTATAAATTCTCTTGTCAGTTATATTTGCACTAAGACAGACATCGTGCTCAGGCTCGTCACTGACACAGAGAAATATGGTCACATATTGACCTTGATCGGTGCGTTCAATGAATGTTTACTTTTGAAGTTGGTATGCTAGTCTGGAATGGCATACAAATTGGTGCAGGTCCACTTGCCTATGTTGCGTGGTTCAAGCCACTTACCCAAAGGGAGGAAACCCTTGGTATGTTCAAAACTTCAGCTGCTACTCACCAAAATCGGTGCCGTGCCTCTATTATCCCAATCACTCTA